GTGAGAGTTTGAATAAAATTGATGCCTCATTATGTTGCCAGTCCAGAGTCAATGGGAAAGTATTGAAATCGCAAGATGGAAGTATGGTTAGTTTTCCCCAAGGTCCATCCATGATGAGTCACCTGCTTTTATTGCAGAACATTTAGATCTAGTTTTGTAATGAAAACATGAGACAGTGTATCCACAATAATTCTTATAACTGTGAAAATGTGCTTATTTGTTCAGGGACATAGTACCCTTTGAGGCTTCTTCCAAACACTGTAATTTTCTGTAAGAAATTTCAGTGCTATTTTTGGAGAAAAGATGCCCCATCACCAAAACTCCAGCAATTGGTTCTAATGTACCAATTATTGCCATAGTCCAGTGATTTAATGGAGAGCATACAAAGCTTTTTACCCTCCTGTTCCACCATCTGCAAAAGCCACATGTTTACTTCTGGATGCAGTATAAGGCATTGATTTTAATTCATCAGATCCCCTATCTTTGGAATTCATTTAATTCAGATATTTCTTGTTTCTCTAAACACCACTTAAGTCCAATACAGTTTTTTGTTATAGATAAGGTGGAGGGGAGTTATCATCTGTTAGTATTTTTTTTCTCTTTAAGCACTCAAATTGAATTCAGAATCATTGTTTAGCCTTTTACCCAAATATTTTTGATTTATCATGTGCTGTTTTAAAGTAATATTTTATACTTCACAATTAAGCAGCCTACACTAAAGTTTTACTCTGATGCCACACTGTGGATAGGTATTGACTCCACAAGTTCAGATCATAGCTCTTCCATGACTTCCCATCCTCTGTGATTTTTGTCCATATCTTTTTATAAATCTTGCATAGAGGCGTTACCCAGTACACTGGAGGTCTTCCCCTCTGGCTCTTGTGATGTTGAGTACCCACACAGAACTCAAACTGTTTTTATTTTGCCCCTCATTCTTGCTATGTGATCCATTAATTTCCTTTTCCAGGCACACATCATCCTTGATGATGACTTTTATGACACTTCTTTTATGCAAGCCATCACTAGTGAAGAATGAAGGCATCTTGATCATTAGCAGGGTAGTATTTCAATGATCATCAATCCTTAGGACCACACTGACTTTTTTAAAAAAATGAAATATTGAAAACATTATTTTGTCTAAAAAATAATAAAGAAAATCCATAAATTTATTGAATACCTACTATGTTCAAGGCACTGTGAAGTTAAACACCCCTGAGTTCAAATCTAAGATCTTCTACTTACTACTTCTGTGACTTTGGAAAATTCACTTCACACCTCTGGGCCTCGGTTTCCTCATATGTAAAATTAGGGGGTTGGTCTGTGGGACTTCTAAGACCCCTTCCAGCTCCAAATCTCGCACCCTATGATCATAGGGTAAAGGTGTGTCTCTTTGAGACTTTGGCAGCTTGCTAAGGCCCTTGCAATAGGATCATAGATAGATAAATGATAGATAGATAGATAGATAGATAGATAGATAGATAGAGTAAATACTGTCAGACAGGAAATACAAATAGAAAATTATCACTATCCTGAGGGAGCTTAAAGTCTAATGGGATGATAAAATGCATAAACGAGAGCTGGAAAGACAAGAGTTGGTATATTGCAGAAAGGTATGGAGGTGACCAGAAAGTGAAGCAGAGACATAGATCTGGGCAAACCTTGCCATTCAGAGACCCCAGTGCTTCCAGGGATAAAGTTCAAAGGGTAGGTGATAGCTGTTCATCTGGAGTTGGAAGGGGCATCAGAATCTAGTTAGCCTAGGTTACATCTGAGCAAATCAGGCCCAAAGAGATTGAATGTATCTCCCGTAATGGTCCTATGAAGTAATTATTGTTACATTTGAAAAAAAAAATTATCCTTATTCATTTTTGTATTTTTCCTAATTCAAAATTTCTAGCAAAATATGGCCTTTGTACACAGATGGTAATTCAAGCATTTGTTCACTGCTATGCCTAGTCGTCAGCAGTGTGAATGTTCCATCATATGAGATAAATTTGTGTTGCTACAAACATTCCAGGCCATAGTTTCATGAAAACAATGTGAAACTGGAATTGATTTCAGTTAAAACAACAAAGTTGGTTCAGAAACTATGTTCTTCTTTTGTAAGTACTTTACCTTCGTTTGGCCAATGCATGCAAAAAAATGGAGAATACTTTATACCTCAGGGAAGAGGAACTTTTGCCTTGCTTTTTAAATAATGGGGTAAAAATAGGTGACTTTCATCTATCCTTCACTCCCTGTAGACAATATGCATAATGAAGAGAAGAAATAAGTTCTCTTAAAGCCACTAGGAAAATTGAAGCTAGGACCATGGGATTTCCAGGAAGAATGGATTATTTCCAAACACTAAGTAAAGTGTGATGAATTCTGCAAGTAGTATGGAACTGAGATAGCAGAACCCTAAAGCATCTTTTCTGTCTCCAATGGAACTGGAGAAATTTTACTATTCTCTGACTTAAGTAAATTTTTGCTTATTTTAATAATGAAATATCCATTACCAAACATTTAATAAGAGATTACAATGTGCTAAATGCTGGGAATACAGTTACAAAGCAAAAACAATGCACTGACCTCAGTAAGCTTCCATTGTAATAAAACCCTAGATCTAAACACGTTTTTTTTTACATTCAAGCACAGCAATTTGTGTCTATTATCTATTAGTTTGAGATAGCAAGAATTCTCTTTTCATTAAAGATCATTTGGACTTTTATGTGTCCCAACATCTAAAGATAGGAGTGACCTTAGATGTCCTCCAGGCCAATTCTCTCATTTTGCCAGTGAGGAAACAGGCAAAGTCTTGCCCAGAGTCTCACATAGGTAGTAAGGAACAAACCTTGTATCCAAACTCAGTTCCTCTGATTGCAAATACTTGCTTATTACCTAACACTATCTTTTTATGCCAAATTATAGCTCAGGGGGGAAATGTATCCTATGCTATAAACCCCAAATAATGGAGGTACATGATGGAAAGCCTGGAAAATCTTTAAGTACAGTTTCACTAATGTTATGCTATAATACATAACCAATTTAATTTGGAACTAAGAGCCAGTTGTCAAGCAATACATTTATAGAGCTAATATTGTTAACATCTTAATTTTCTTCTCCTCTTGATTTAAATTACAATTTCCTTTAAAATGAAATCCACTTCTGAGATGCCTAATGGATTTTACTTTAATTTTTCTGTTGTGTTAGCTTTTATAGCTTTCCCCCACTGTCTCTCCATTTAACCCCTCTCTGGGACACTTGCAAGAAAATCTTAATGCAGATCACAGTATGGACCCATGTAAAAATTAAGTGAACTACATTATCTTAACTGGAAATTGATTAGAAAATACAATGTTCAAGTGATCATCAGCATAATTGGCCTGAATTATTTTCCTGACACTATCAAATAGTCTATAAAGAGCTTTTGATTTGGGAGAACAACCTGGGTTCAAGTTTTGGCTTTGCCATTTACTACCTGTGTGATTTAGAGAAAATGCTTTCACTTTTTTTTTTACTTTAGTTTCTTCATCTATAAAATGAAGAAGTTGGACCAGATTGACCTCTAAGGTCCCTTCCATCTTTAAATCTATTATCCTTTGATATATTAATTTTGGCTAGACTGTCATTTTCTTCAAAGTAACTTGAATTTTCCTTGAAACTAACTGTTGCCATGGCATTTCAGTGTCAGATTTTACAGGAAATGATAAGATTGGTTTATATAAATCCTTTAGCTATAAAAAGAAAATTTTAAAATGGGTAAACAAAAGTATCACAGTGACCATCTTATAGGATTTACAAAGCAGCTAACTCTGCAACTTCATCAGTTCCTTTCTGTGCCTCATTTTTCTCATCCATAAAAATGATCACAGTGACTACTGGCTATCTGAAAAGGTTATTGTGAGCAGCTGAATTGAGATAAGGTCTTTGTAAAGGGTTATCAGATGTTAATTCACAAGCAGTGATGGGTTCACCTAGAGAATCAGATGATTTGATTTTCTTTTTATTAATATGTTTTATTTGATGCCTTTTGTCTTCATGTTGTAGCCATGGCAAAAATAAAAAAAAAATCCCCTTGAGACTGAACCTTTCCTTGCAAAATAATTAAGTAAAAACCTCCAATGTGGTGACCACATCTGACAATCTAAATTATATTCTACCCTAGTAGTTCCCCGCTGATAGTCTGATTTTTCAAAACAGAACTAATATTCTGAGTTTTCTAAACAGAATAATAATATAGGGGGAATTAAAATTGTCTTTCTTCTGTGGATAGGCTTCAAAACAGACACAAATATATACCCACATTCCCATAAACCCTCATCAAATTGTTTTTTTTCAAGTGGTTATTTGCAAGGAAACTCATTTTTATTATCAAATTGTTTTGCTCAAATGCCATTGTGTCTGCCTTGGTGATATTAATATTGTTAGGGCTGCACTAGCCTGACTCCAACATTTTTGTCTCCCAGGGTAATTTTTGCAGTATGTTCTACACTAAAAGGACTAGAAGGTCACTAGAAGGACCTGGCATATCAAAAGATAGAATTTGAATATATATGTGTGTATATATATATGTGTGTGTATATATATATATATGTGTGTATATATATATATATATATATATATATATATATATATATATATATATATGTGTGTATATATATATATATATATATATATATGTACCTATATGTACATATATGTATATATTTACTATAATTTCTCTTGTCTATCCAAATACACTTTTTACAAATAATTACAAGCGTATGTTACCGTTTTACTTTGAAATATTTTTATTCATCCTACTGTCTCTATTTTCTTTCCCTTAAAGATTAAAAATAAGTGCAATGAGTCAATACATAGCTTGGTCTTTGGAGGCATTCTTAAATCCCAGTTTATCTTAATTTTTTTTGTGCCTTAGACTTGCATTTAAAAATTAATTTTAATGCTTATGTTGATCTCATGTGACTATGTTGAAATGGGGCAAAAGGCTCTATTGATTCTGGGATTTTTCTTCATAGTGGCTAGTATTCAGAAGCTTCCTGCAGCTTCTGTTTTAACAGACATCAATTTTCCAATGAAAGGAAGGAAAGGAATGGTCGACTGGGCAAGAAACTCAGAAGACAGGGTAGTTATTCCTAAAAATATCTTCACACCAATGTCATCAAGAGGTAAGGATATATTAGATGACCTTTTGACCAATATCTGGTTTTTTTTAATATGTAACTGTATTATTGGAACTAAAGTATTTTCTGCTAATAAAATTAAATTCCGTGTCAAATAAGCAATCAGTTAGTTAAGTAGCATTTATTAAGCACATGCTTTGTTCAAAGCTTTATGCTAAACACATGGGATAATTAAAAACAAAAAGTGTCTAATCTCAAGGAATTTACAGTCTATTGGGGGAGATATATAAGCAATATAAAAAATAACAAAAGAACTATGTAAAAATAAAATCTATACAGGATAAATTGGGAGTAGCCTCAGAGGGAAAGCACTAAAATTAAGGAAGACTAGGAAAATCTTCTTACAGAAGTTGACTTTAGCTAAGATTTGAGGAAAGCCAGGGAAGCTAGGGGGTGGAGATGAAGAGGGAGAGAGTTCCAGGAATGGGGAACAGCCAGTGAAAATGCTCAGAGTCAGGAATATGGGATATTATAAGCAAAGAGCAGCAAAGAAGCCAGTATTAATTAACATGGAAAAAAGAACCATTGTTATATATTTTTTAAAAATTCCTCAAATGTACTACTATGGTGAGAAAATGTTAGTTTATTCTATATGGCACAAAATGTATGGGGAAAATCTTTGATTCCATAAAAATGGAAAGAAATAATAAAAGATCAGTATATATGATAAACTCCTATTTTCAGAAGAATATATTTTATATGGTACAGTTAAAAGTGTGTTCAATTTAGAGTCAGAGGAGCAGGATTCAAACCCTGGTTCTTCTACTGGTTTCCTTTGTGACATTAGGCAAGTCCTTTAATTTGTATGGGCCTCAGATTCCTTAGCTGGAAAAGGAAGGTGCTCAACTACATGGACACTAAGGTCCATCCCAGTTCTCAATCTATCATCCTATGATTTTCCAGAGTTAGTACACATTTTCAAAAATTTCATTGTATCAAATGAGGATTGGACTTGATAATCACTAAGATAACTTTCAGCTTCAAATCTTTATGATTTTATGATCCTTGACTTACTTTCCCCTTCTTGCTTTTGAGGATACTCTCCATGACGCCTCCAAGGCCTTTCTCACTAGTTACATGTCTGTGGCTGTCATTAAAATTGGTACCTTATGTCAGGGGCAGAACAGTGGAAGAAATAGTGTAAACCCTGGCATATACCTGTTGTCCCTCCTTTGGCCCATATGTCAGAGAAACCAAATAATGGTCTCTAAAGTCAGCCAACCAGTCAGTCAAGAAACATTTATTTTGTGCTCACCATGTGTTAGGCACTATGCTAACCACTAAGAATACAAAGAAAGGCCAAAAAAATTCCCTGCCCTTTGGTAGCTTATATTTTAATGGGAGATAATGAAATAATAAGAAAAGAATCTCTTCCTGTTCATCTTTCATATTGCCTACATGAGTGCTGGCAGTGTGGGAAAGTTGGGAAAAGTCTAATAGGTTGCAGTATTTCAAAATGTATCATGTTTCTTGCTATTGTATTAATATACTTTTTTTTTCCCTTTAGAATTAGATGAATCTTCTGTGTTTGTCCTTGGAGCAGTTCTGTATAAAAATTTAGATCTTATTTTGCCTACTTTGAGGTAAGAAAAATGTAAAGATGCTACTTATTATATAGCATATTACGGAAAAAAGGCAACCCAGTTGACATAGGTTTGGGTAAACATAGGTAGTCTTTTCTTGTTATTTTCCAAATGATGTCTTAAACAATTTTATTTTAAAGTTAATTTAAAATGCATAATATGCTATACTTTTATAGTGGAGTAGTGGATAGATAACTGACTTCAGGGTCAGGAAGACATGGGTTCAATTTTCTCTTTTGACACATACTGGCTCTGTGACCCTGGGTTTTCATATTCCCAGGCAACTCTCTAACATCAGAAATGCAAATCTACTTTGATAGGAATTTCCTCATCCAGAGTTCTCCACCCCCAAAGAAATAAAAACCCTGGCCCCATCCCAATATGATAGTAATCCATTCATTAAATGGGATTATCTGATTATAGCCCTGTGATTCTTATTTAACTAATTCTATCTTGACTCAAACTAAAAAAAAAAAAAAACCAAAACAACTCTTTAGGCTGTTTAATATCATGAGTGGTAGAAAAAAATAAAAACTAACCCCTCTTACTATTTGTAATTAATGCTACCACTCATCAATATAATATGATCACTTAAAATACTCCATGCCTTCCTTCATTTGCACAAGATCTCAATTTACCTCGAAATACGTTTTCAATTACATCTACATTAAGAAATAATGCTTGTGATATGTTAAGAGACTATTTTTGGACAAAACCCATTGATGTGTAGTTTCCTTTTTTTCTTCCTCACACATCTCCAGAAATAATGTAATTACAAAGAGGAATCACCAATCTTACCTTATCTCATTAAAGCATCTTTTTGCTTCAAGAATTTCCCATAATTCATTGCAAATATGCTTTAGTATACCTACTCATAGCACTTCTATCTGTTGCTCCTTTCTGTACTCCTCTTGGAAGGAGGGATGTTAATGAGGATTCTTAATTACCAACTATATTGTATTAAAATTACACACCACTCTGCTTATTCACTCCTTTATGAGTAAAGCTTTAAGGTTTTTTTTTATTTCTAGAGAATATGTGGATGATGTGTATTCTTAGGTGGAGATAACAAATAGTACAATAAATAAAAACAATTAGAGCTCAACCCAGCATAAAGCAGACTCCTGCAAAAGTTTCCAGGCCTTTCTAAACTCTGCAGCTGCAGTAAATAGTCATGATTCTTAGGTGAAAAATCTTTCTGTAGGAGACACGTTATTAGCATAGTCAGTGAGTCACCCAGATTTTCTAACATGGAACAGGCTCTTCCACCACCAAAGAGACATTAGTCAGGCAGAGAAAATGTACAGAGGGGACACAGTACAGCTTTATCATTAATGCCCTTCTTGCATGAGATTAGAGATTTCACAGTCAGCTAGGTGTAGGTTTCATTTTGCTTTGTTTAGAGGGGGAGAAGGGATGGTGCTTGTGTGTTAATGAAAATGCTTACCTCTGATTTCCACAATTGCTTCAAGTATAAAGCATGTTCAACCACCAACACTTTCTCTTAGGCTCTAGGCCTGCAAGGAACCCTGTGGAAATAGACTTGGTAAAGAAACATAATCATTCCCTGGAACTGTGGTTTAAAGCAATCCTATTCTATTTTCTCAGACCTCAGGCCCACAGGAATTTAGGCCTTCTAGTCCAGTATCTTTTTTTCCTTTTTGGTTTAAATCTATGATTTCATTAGGGAAGAAAGGGAGGGAGGGAGGAAAAAAGGAAGGAAAGAAAAAAGGTGCTCAAAACCCATTTTGAAGTTAAGGAAATTGAGGCAGAAAGCGGTTAAATGACTTGCCCAGGGTCCCACATTTGACTCCACTCTAGGTACTCTATCTAGGAAGCTTCCATTGAAGAAAAAAACTCTACCAATCCAGGCCAGCACTTTTCTCTAAGTTTATAGTCTTAGCTGTGTAGCACACTGAGAAGTTAAGTGACTTTCCCAGGGTCGTATAATCAGTATGTGTCACAAACAACTTAAATCCAGATTGTTCAGATTCAGAAGCTAGACCTCTTTATCATAGGCTATATTGCCTCTTGGTAATAGTACCTAGCATTTATATAGCACTTGAATGTTTTCATAGTGTTTTACATACATGATTTCATTTCATCCTCAAAACAACCTAATGATGGTATTTTTATCCCCATTCTAGAGATGAGGAACCTGAGATTTAGGAAGGTTAAATACCTTTCCCAAAGTCACACTCCTAGTAAGTGTCAGAAGAGGATGGAGGATTTGAACCCAGGTTTTCTGACTCCCAAGTCAAACATCATTTTTTCCATTGTACCACATTGCTTCTCAGTTGCCTCTGTCCCCCAATTTGGAAGTCACCTATTTTACAAAATCCTGGAAATCTGGATGCTTGGACCCCTAGAATTTCTTTTTTCCCATTTGTCCACCTGTCCTGGTTGGTTTGCCTAAAGCTAGTTTCTAGTCATATTGTAAAAGCCTGGCTGTGGCTTTTATGGTGAAATTTCTTCCTCAAAAGCCATATCTTATATGTAGACTGGCCCAGGATCATGGTGACTTCATTCTGTTCTGTGTGAGGTCTCCTTCCAGGCTTCCATTTTACTTCTGGAAGCTTGACTCTAGTTTTCAAATGATTGAAAGAATTGAGATAATAAGCAAACCTTGAGATCATTCCCTGGAGCTAAGGTGGCAGTCATGCTATCTTCCCCTGAATCAGTTCTATTGATTTTATCCCCCACATGCTTTCAGAGTGCATAGCTCATATGCTAATCCCCATGAGAGTAGTTTTCTAGGTGTGGTTAGATTCACTCAGTAGCTTTGTTTCTCCTTTTGTAAAACAGGCATAAACATATACAGCCCTATTTACCTCTAAGGGATACTATTAAAACAAATGGAATATTCAGCATAAAAATGCTCTGGTTTTCTTACATTCACTATTTTAACTTAAACACAGTAAAATACTATATGTTATTATAATATATAAATCGATCAAAACAATAAATTAAATGCCCACAATCCACCACATGTGCCAGGCACTGAACTAGGATCTAGTAATACAAAAACAGGAATGAAACAGTCTCTGCCTTCATAGAAATTATACTGCATCAGGGAAAAGAAAATGTAGGTACATAGGAAATGTAATCTTTTGGGGGAAACTCTAGGGGATTTCAAAAGACCTAATGCTGGAAGTGGCATTTGAATTGTGATATGATATAAATAATAATATTTAGAGGATAGGAACAGGACCTGTGGTTTCACTGTTGGAGAGAACTCATTGATGAGTAAACTTCTACCAATGCAGGTCAGTACCTTTGCTCCATTTTACTAATTGCCTTAGCAGGTTTTCTGAAGCACTGAAAGGTTAATAGACTGACCCTTGATGACACGTGTGTCAGACACTGAAGAATTCAGGTCCTCCTGACTCCAAGGCCACTTTCTTTTCACTGTGCCACATTGCCTGTCTTCAATAATGTTATAATAATTATTATTATTTTTACTGTTATAACATATGTATATTATCTTCTGATGATGGTGATGGTGATGGTGGTGATGTTATTTTTAAAAGTGACACACTTTCTAAACAGATAACACATCTATATAGAACTTTAAGATTTACCAAACATTTTTCTCACAAAACCTCTGAAACAGGTAGTTTGATGGGTTTTAGCATCTCTAATTTACATATGGAAAAACAGGACCAGAGAACTTCATGAATCCAAGTCATCAGAGGCCCAGGCAAACCTCTTTGAAAAACAGCTCAGGAATTTGAATCCTTTTATCCTATAAAGAGGAATATATGCTAATGCTACAAACATATCGGTATTCTCTACTTGAGTTCATTCAATATGTAATGACATTTTAATCAAGATACTGGTAATTATAACTACCAATGCGTATGGAGAGGCTACATTGCTTATTGGAACTAGGGGTGAGGAGACAAGAATTTTAGTCCCAGATCTCACAATGTGTGATCTTAGAAGAGTCATTTAATTTTTTTCTGAGCTTCAGTTTCTTCATCTGCAAAATGAATGCTTTGAATTCAATGCTCTTTAAATTTCCTTCCTAAAACTCAAATTCTTTGAGTGTGTGACAATTTTGATACTGGTTCGATACTAAAATTCAGTTTCTTTGAAGAGAAACAAGAGATTTAAGAGCTCATTTTTTTAGATGTTAAGTCCAGAATATCTGAACTTCAACATTTACACTGAAAAGACTGCTAACGTGCCTAAATTACAATCTAATCAGCAAAAGATTCTCTTGCCCATAGCAACCATATGCGCTGTAGTATAAAGAATACTGGACTTGGAGTCAGGAGAAACCTGAATTGTATCCCTAGCTATGATTACTATTTGTGTGATTCTTTCTTGTCACTTAACTTCTCCGACCTTCAATCTCTTTATCTATAAAATGGGAGTGATAATAATTGGACTAGGTCGTTCATTGTGTTGTTATGAGGATCAAATGAAAGCTATTCTTATTCATATTGTGATCATTTGACCAACCAATAAAAATGTAGGTTCTGAATATTTAAGAAATTCATAAATCTTCTCATACATTTAATCTTATGCTTTGATCTAGCATTAAGAATATTCTTTATTCTCATATTGAATATCCTCTTGGTTTCATCTTTCAGACTTCATTTTTTATTTCATATTTTTCTCGGGACAAGGATTCTGTTCTCTTCTTTTGTACTGCTGCCCCCATTTCCACTCCCACCATTAAAGCACCTCATGGAGACTTGCTGTAGGTGCTCAATAAATAATGTTTGAATTCATAATTTTTCCAGTTGTGTTAAAATTTGGATATTGAACAATAGCACAGAAAAATATCATGTGGCACTTCAAATAGAGAATAGACCCTAGATCTGTGATTTCATATGTAGAGGGAGTTCCCAGATATGGAAAATCCTCCCACCCACACAGGTCAATATTTTCTCTGCATCTTCTCATCTTAGAAAATAATCTACATCACCAAGACGTTAATTTACTCACATAGGATCAAATATTTAGTTTGTATCATAGGTGGGCCTTGAACC